ACAAATTGTACTAAAGCTGGTACCTTAAAATAGTACACGAGAACCACCCCGTAACAGTCTTGGTACTTTTATTTTTCTTATTGGGGATTGCACAAGTTTTCTGTATATATATATATATATATATATGAGCTACCAGACCTGTTGCTATGACAACTCTGGGATGAGTTTTGAAGAATTGTTAGACAATCCTGGGTCATGTCAAATCGTCAATACTCAAATCCAGCTAATTGAGTAATTCAAGTATGAAGAATGGACCCCAGGAATAAATGAACTAAGATAACCGTTATGGATGCACCAATATGGATATTTTGCACAATACTAATAACGATAACTGACTTACTCTTTATACTTTGGAAGCTGATAACAGACATTTTGGCAAGTAAATATAATTAAAACCTTTCTTTAAAACCTGAATACCAAAACAAGAGGCAATTACACAATATGTAATTAATAATTCATCCAAAAATTAAAGATTGCAGTCTGTTGATAACGATATGGCCACCGATATTCATTCATTCATTCATTTTCCTTCGGCTTAATCCCTTTATTCATCAGGGGTCACCACAGCGGAATGAACCAACAACTTACCAATTTTTACACAGTGGATGCCCTTTCGGCTGCAACCCAGTACTGGGAAACACCCATACACTCTCGCATTCACACACACAGTCATACACTAGGGCCAATTTACTTTATTCAATTCACCTATAGTGCATGTCTTTGGACTGTGCATGGGGGAAACCAGAGTACCCGAAGGAAACCCATGCGAACATGGGGAAAACATGCAAAATGCAAACTGGCCCTGCTGGGACTCGAACCAGCGACCTTCTTGCTGTTAGGTGACAGTGCTAACCACTGAGCCACCGTGTCGCCTGGCCACCAATATATCACTGGAAAAAACTACAAGTGTAAGAACATTTTACAATCTACAGCTTATCTCAAATAATCCTCTAAAATAGGGGTGCTCAATCCTGTTCCTGGAGATCTACCTTCCTGCAGATTTCAGATGTTACCCATATCAAACACACCTGAACCAATTAATTAGGACCTGAACACCACTTGATAATTACAGGCAGGTGTGTTTGATATGGGTAGCAACTGAAATCTGCAGGAAGGTAGATCTCTAGGAACAGGATTGAGCACCCCTGCTCTAAAATTTCAATAAAAATGATAAAATCATGTGAATCGTGTGAGATAAACTGATAATTTGGTGAATCACAAGTTTACTCTTGATTAAATGAGAAATGTTCATATTATGTGTGAATCTTAATTGCAAATTTGTGCGACAGCAAACCTATAACATGGATAGTTTCATTATACATGTTCCCCATGTTAATATACCACATGTCAGAATACACGTGTGAATGTCTTGCACTTAAGCGTTTGGTGCTAATATATATACAGTAAACAGATTTCATAAACGGAATTTAGAGGGCAAACAATTGTGACATTCACTTTTGCCCAAATGCTTGATTTTCTCACAGTTAGACCAGCTGTTGTCACTCACATTCACACCCACAGACTGAATGTAAGGGATCTCTCTCCTTGTTGCTAAGAGACTTCATTTGGAAAAAGAACCACCCACCATGCCATGCCAAGCCAAATGTGAGTGGTGTTTATCAAAACTTCTGGGCTGTCAGTGCTTTATAACATCCTGCTGTAGTTGCAAGGATCTTCTCGTAGAATATTCTTAATAGTTGCTTGGGGAATGCAAGGGTGTGTTCAGTTGTTGCTAAGGTATTGCTAAGGTCCTCATTTTGGTCTATTGTTCAGTAGTTGCTATGGCATTCTAGGTAGCTGCTAAGAGAACTCAAAGGCTGCGTCCAAAATCATATAATTCCATACTACATAGTAAGGTAAAAACAGCATATGCGTCGATAGTATGTCCGAATTTATCGTTTTCGAAAAATAGTATGCAGGAAGTACCAGGATGATCTACTTTTTACGGTGAGGTTCTGAAGCGTGCATCCAATGGATGCTATGCTATCCCATGATGCCACACAAGAGAATTCATGAATTAAAGTGATGAGACGCAACTGATGTGGTTAGGTCACGTGATAATGACAAATGGCGATTGTAGTACGTCCGAATTACATTTATACTATGCACATACATTCTATATAGAAAGTACTTTTCTACGGTTTGTGTAGTAAATTCAAATTTAAATGTAGTATGTACTAGGTAGTAGTAGGTACCTGATTTCAGATGCAACCCAAGGATTCTTAATCAGCGGTCCAAAACCCCTGGTTCATAGCCAGCCCCCTACCCAGTTGTGAAGGAGTTGCTATTTAAAATTAGGCCCAATCCCAATTCTATTTTTGTACCCCTACCCCTTGGCCCTTGAAACAGAGTGTGAAGGGGAAGGACTTCAAAATTTACCCCTAAGAAATGAAACAGCACTACAACACCTGCACACGTCATCATATGTCATCGCAATCTCTTGCTTCATTTGAGGTCAGACGATCGTGACTGCTGTAGTTATTCCAGTCCGAATATAGCCATGCTGCCGTTGTAGCAGGTGTATTCTGGGAAATTTGCCTACACCTACAACTCAACTGTGGTCCTGAAAAATCTCAGTTTCAAGGGCTATCTGGCCCCTCTCCTTAGCCCAGGGCTGTCCAAACTCTGTCCTGGAGGGCCAGTGTCCTGCAGATTTTAGCTTTAACTTGCCTCGACACACCTGCATGGATGTTTCAGAAAGCCTTTTAAGAACTTGATTAGCTTGCCCAGGTGTGTCTGATTGGGGTTGGAACTAAATCTTGCAGGACACCGGCCCTCCAAGACCGAGTTTTGCCCTTCACCTTCAAGCTAAAGAGAAATGGGACACGGGGTAAGGGACAGGGCTAATGGGTAGACTTAGGATTGGGCCTTAGTCTATATGCCAACCAGTATTCATATTTGTGCACATCGCACACCCAATGTGAATCATGCTGCTCCATATTTTTCTAAACCTTGCTGTTACACAAGTGCCACCTTTCAGAGTCTGTTCGCATTGCTTAACAACATGTAAAAAAGAATGTAGTGACAGGGTGGGGTGGGGACGTGCAGCAATTCGGCTTGAGATTTTATGCTACACGTTAAGATTCAGCTAAAACAGCATGAGTGAGAAACATCTCTCGAAAGCTAGTATTGTTGAAATGGAACAATCTCAGATTCAATATTATGGTCAGTTGTAATAGTTTGCTTCAGTTTGTTATTGCAAGCATTTGTAATATAGATGTAATTGCACGTAAATCCATTTTTTTTCAATTGAAAATACTTGACTACTAGTCTGTTGCAAATTGATCAATTCGAACACTGGTCTGTGCTATGAATATACTATTTTTAAGGTATTCTGGAAGGTTGATTGGGTACTGCTACAATCTTGTATGTGGTTGCATTATTTCTTGTTAGGTGCGGTTTATTTATAAACTAATTTCGAGAGGATCACGCGCTTATGATTGAGCATGTCTGGTCCCACATTAGCTCCCCATATTGCGCCAATCAGATGAATACTGACTCAATATAAATAAGTTTTCCACTCCAGTCATCTTCGACTTGAAGAATCCCCCCTTCCATCCCTATTCCTCCTTTTCTCCATATAGGGTGGCATGGCGGCCCAGTGGTTAGCACTGTTGCCTCACAGCAAGAACATCACTGCTTCGACCCCTCACCGGAAAATGTAGGAGAGTTTGAGACCTACCTGAGCTCAAACTCCTCTTCAAACAGGAGAGAGCCCCGGGCTTGAGGATATTCTGAGCTCAGGGCTCTCTCCCAGGAAACCATGCCAAACACACTTTATTATCAATCATCAGCTAGGTGAAAACTCCTGAAATGGGTAGGGTCATCTGGGTAGTTGCTAAGGCATTGCTCGGTTCTCCTCAGGGGTTGCCAAGACATTGCTAGGGTCCTCTGGGTGATTGCTAAGGCATTTCTATAGTCTCCTGGGTGGTTGTTTGGTCCATTGCTCAGTGGTTGGTATGGTCTTCTGGGTGGCTGCAAAGGGAACAGCAAGAATCTTCTAGGTGGTTGCACTGTTCATTGTTAGGTGGTTTCTAGGGTCTTCATGGTGATTGTTAGGGCATTGCTATGTTTTTTCTATGGTCTTCAGGAAGGCTGCTTGGGCACGGTTAAATCTTGTAGGTGGTTACATAGTTTCATAGTAGGTGGATGCTAAAGTGTTTTCCGTGTGGTTGCTTGATTTAATAGGTGGTCTCTATGGTGTTTTGGATAGTAGCTAGGGCATCATCAGGATCATCTAGGTCAGAGATGCCCAAAGTAGGGCTCGTGGCCCAAAGTTGGCCCATTGTAACCTTTGATTTGGCCCACCATCCCCCATTTGGGCACCCCTCATCTAGGTGATTGATAAGTTAATTGCTAAGTGCTTGGCATGGTCTTTGGGGTAGTTGTTATGGCACTGCTAGTTGAATTGTCTATTTTTGCTAGTTGAATTGTCCATTTTTAGGTGGCATTATTACTATTTTCTAACTCAGACTTAGGGTCACCAAGTCTCTGCAGAGCTCAGCTCCAACTTTCCTCAATACACCTGTCTGGAGGTTTCAAGTAAACCTTGCACGACCTTGATTAGCTTGTTCAGATGTTTTAGATTAGGATTGGAGCTAAAGACTGTAGGACACCAGCCCTCCAGCAACAGGTTTGGTGGCCACTGTTCTGGTTGATTAGATCATAGCTAGGTGGTTGTCAATAACATACATATGCTAATGTTTTCTTAGTTAAGGCATTGCTAGGTATCCACGTTCATTTTCTTGGTAGTTACTAGGTATTGGGAATACAATGTAGGTGAGTTCATAGTTCAAATATAAGGTGGTTTCTATACGATTGCTTACACAAGTAAAAGGAGGCCAAGCTCAAAATCTCTATGACAATCTTAGCACGACATTCTTCTCTTAGCCACTAATGAAAGTGTAATTGTCTCACCACCACTGACAATTCCTCATTCATTCAAATGTTCCAGTAACACTCCAGTGAACATGAGATCGGCAAGAAATGAGCTCCCTCACCCTCTTTGCAGTCTTCCCCATGAAATCCTGGACAGCATCGCCATTCCAGAGAAGTGATTTTCCTGTAGGTCACTCTGTACACAGGTCTCACAAGAGTTCTGTAGCTGGGAGAACACAGAGAGGCAAAGCGGTTTGTTAGATGTTGTCAATGTTAAACTGAGAGCAAATAGCTGAATATAAACCAGTGCATACTATGAGATCATTTCTTTATTCTGTACCTGATGAGGTTTGTACATGGTCCAGGCCATCGGCAGCTCTGAAACAGTCGCTGCACAACAGTCTCAGTCCCATTTTGTGTCTGGCATGAAACGGTCTTCTGTACTGTGAACTGGCACCAGTTCCTGATGAATGAACAATAATAATGAGAAATACCAGACTAATAAGAATTCAGTAAAGTCAATAATATAACAGAAAAAGGAAATTCACAATAAACCAATGGAATTGTGAAAAGGACGAGCTTTAGGTAGAGAGTATATGGTAAACCGATTTTATTTTCACAAACTCAGATCAATAGCATTGTTTTCAATGGTTTGAGTGCCATAATGTTTCTTCATGAAACTTCAAAAGCCAGACGAAATACAGCGCAGTCCCCGAGAGACCCTCTCAGTGGCATAAGCGTATCTTTTTTCCTGTACCACAGGAGGCTGAATGATTTATCCTCTCCTGACATTCATATAACACCCAGAAGAGTCTGACAGACATTGCTGAAGACAAGAAAAAAAGATTGTGGTTGTATGCTTTGTTTCTAAACCTGGGAAAATTCCTGTCAGATGATTTGAAAAATTCCGGGATTGTAAACTTTTCAGTATTCATGTCATTGTTGTGTCATTTTTTTTTTCACAGGACAAAATCATTACTATACCACAGACTTTTCATGAAGCTCCACATGTCTAGACTAGGCTCAACCTTTACAGCATGTCAAACCACAAAATACTTTGCTACCTTTTTCATAAAAAGAAGTTGAATTTATTCTACTGAATGTCTGTCTTGCATTAAAGTGTTTCAATACTTTTAGCTTTGGTTCAATTTATTCATTTTATTGGAATTTAACTGTGCCCACATGATAAAATCCTATAATAACTTATAGTAAATACAAGTGTTTCTGAACCATGCTTTAGTAAAGTACTTGGACTGATCTTTTGTGGTTATTCTTTAGTTCCTGTGGTAAAACAACTACAGTAATATTAACAAATTATCAAGTTTACAACACAATATACAATGGTGTAAACTCAAACTCAAACTACTGTAACTGTGTAGTTTTCCTCAGGGATTGTAATTTACTACGTAGTTTTAAAAATGTGTACTTTTACTCTCCCTTAAGTACATTTTTTAGTGCAGTATCGGTACTTTTGCTCCACTATTTTCCTTCACTTGCAGTCACTACTTTATTATTTTTGGTCTATTGAGATTCTAAAAATCAGTCCTGTGATTCCTGTCCAATCAAATCGCACATAGAAGGTAAATTGTCTCATAGTGAACTGCCTCAAGTCATGGGCGATTTATAATAGCAGCTAACTATTAGGAATAATTAAAGAAAGTGCAAGAAGATGTCCAAAATCTTTACATGCAATGACCCAGAGACTGTTTTGATGCAAATCACTGATGAGAAAATGACGGCTGTTTACTGTTTGATACCGAAATGGCCTATAACACGCAGCACGCACAAGACGTCAACATGACGCCAGATCGACATTGTTCCCCAACATTGTGGGGAATTTGCATTTTGTTTGGAAATGAAAATCGGGTTTACATCTGAACCCAAAGTCCGACCGACATCAATGTCCAACATCCAATCTAAAATCAACCAAATATCAACGTCTAATGATGTACAGCTTGTCGTTGCGTGGACCACTACGACATCTATCAGATGTTGGATTTTGGTTGCCATACCTGACGAATAAATGTCAGTATTTGACGTCAATTTGACGTTGGTTTAAAATATTGGCTAGATGTTGGATTTTGGTCACTTTCCAACACAACTTAAAATTAACCAGATATTAAACACATTTGATGTTGTTTTTGGACATAACGTTGGTCTTAAGATGCTGCCTAGACATTGAATTTTGATCACCTGACATCACAACCTAAATCTAACCTAATATTAGCATCTTATGACATTGTGTGCTTGCTTGGCAATAACTAAATGCACTACAGAATGTTACGTTTACACACATCCACAAATTAGGTAGCGTAAAATGCATGGGCCCACCCGCAAGAATTAAGGTGGGGCCCCCAGAAGTGATGACCGGGGGAGTGGGGGGTGGGGTGGGATGTGTTGCGTGCTTATAATCACGCGAAGTCCGGGAGGTGTACTTACGATTGTGTGAGGTAAAGAGGGTCATGGGTGCTTATGATCGCTTGAAGGTAAGTGGTGACCTGCGGGCCCGTTTGCTACGCCACTTCGTAATACTCACTACTCCTGAGTACTTTTAAAAGGGCTACTTTTTACTCATACTTATACACACACATAGATCCGTAGTGTTACAAAGATACTTTTTAATGAAATCAGTGTGAATTTTATGATGTTATTTTTGTGATTTAAGAGGTAAGATAAGCTTAAAGTAAAGTAAGATAGGCTTAAAATTTGAATAATTACCTTTTTTACCCAACACTATACACATAGACAATAATATACTATATTTTATTATGCACCAGATAACTGTAGAGAAACTAAACTACAGCATTCGTTACAGTTTATCAATTCACGTTAACACACTACAGCATTCAATAACAGAGTATTTATAATACACTTACAGTATACCATAGTCTAACTAACGTTTCAAAACACTATAGTGTTCACTATAAATTGCTACAGTATTTTGTCATGTAGGCATACACAGGTAGACATAATGATAGCCAGGTAGATAGATAGATAGATAGATAGATAGATAGATAGATAGATAGATAGATAGATAGATAGATAGATAGATAGATAGATAGATAGATAGATAGATAGATAGATAGATAGATAGATAGATGCTGGGTTCTACAAAACCGATTTGTGTTGAGACATCATGAAGGAATTAAGTTACATTATTTGCTTTACAAATGTAAGTGAATTAAACATAAAACAATTAAGTTGTCCCAAAACAAAATCAAGAATTGTGTCGTTTAGGATTTAATGATTAGATAGATAGATAGATAGATAGATAGATAGATAGATAGATAGATAGATAGATAGATAGATAGATAGATAGATAGATAGATAGATAGATAGATAGATATGTAATCCACAAAAAAAGTTCATATAAATGTAGGCTAATAATTTGAATACATTTAATTGGCTACACACAGTGTATCTAGACATTTTAAAAACTAGAAATACACCACTGGATTAGGTAGTGATATAACTGCTTTCCTAACCGGACAGTCCTTTATACTAAGACTTTAAATCAGTCAGTTTGATAACTTAAAGTCACTCGAGCTGACCAGTAAACTCTAGTAATGTTACGGAGCAGTGTTTACCTGTTGAGCGCAGTGTTCGCTCCAGTGTTGTGCTCGGACACCGTGCGCTGCAGCCTCACTGGAAGCTGATAAACAGCCGTTGCTTTAAAAGGACGAAGCGCCAACAAGAAAACACAAAGGAGTATTAAAAATCCCTCCCGCATCTTTTCAAAGATCAAAGATTTGCTTTAACTGATGTTTTTCCCGCTCGGAGGAGTTGAGGGAGTTTCTGACGGGTGAGGAGAGACGATCTCTGACTAGAGTAAAACACACTGTCCGATTTTCTTAAGGTACAACTCTGCTTGTGTCTCATAACCTAATTGGATGACTATCTAGTATATACTACATCATAGTTGGCATGGCCCAAAATCCTCCATGCGTTTGTAATAGTCAAGGTATTTAAAGGTACGGTGTAACACACGCCAAAACAAACGCAGGGAGTATTAAAACGCAACTAGAGAAGAGAAAAACTGTATTGTGTAAATGACTCAAATATATTTTGCATGATGGAATGTAAAGTAAATGTAATTTTAAAAAATCTTGAAGAGGGATAAAATAATAATTCCTACTCTGATTTGAAAAAAAAATGGCTTTAGCGCCACCTGCCGGTCAAACATTGGATAGCACACCACACGTGTTGGGTTAAATTAGTTGCAAAGTGACTAGTTACTGTCATTTTCTGCTGGAAAAGTAAAGCAAGGCGTTTTTGGGTAATTTAATTGTAGTAACTCGTGCGCTTGCCTTAAATATTGTCCATTAATTCAACAGTTCTGTATACAGTAAATCAATGTTATTGTTAGACAAATATATGTTGTACATTCATTCATTCACTTTAGCTTGTTCCCTTTTTTCATCAGGGTTCGCCACAGTGGAATGAATCACCAACTTATGTAGCATATGTTTTACACAGTGGATGCCCTTCCAGCTGCGACCCAGTACTGGGAAACATCCCTACACACTCATTCACACACATTCATACGGCCAATTTAGTTTATTCAAGTCACCTATAGAGCAAGTCTATGGCATGTCTGTGAGGGAAACAGTGAGGAGAACATGCAAACTCCACACAGAAATGCCAACTGACCCAGCTAAAGAAAAAAAATGCATTCTTACTCAGATAGTTTTCACTGTAACTGGATTTCCTAACTAAAGACAGGTAGATTTTTCTGACTAAATGAATGCATTAAGAAATAATTATATGGTATAAGAATTATATGGTATATGATCAATATATGGTATTTATGAAATATTGCGCCATTACACTGAAACGTTTCATATTTTGATACATTTATTGTTTAATATTATGTATAACAATTTGTTAAAGCTAAAAGGCCAAATTTAAAGAATTAAGAGTACATTTCTATTTTGCACTTAGATTTATAGAGATTGTAAGCAGTTAAGTAATTAAATTGCTAATTAAATAAGAGAAAGTAATTTAAATAGAATTTAAATAAATAACTTACCCAACCTTTCACTCCACAGATATTATAACCAGGAAATCAGAGCACATCACACCTGTCCTCAGGTCTTTACACTGGTTCCCAGTAACATTCAGAATAGATTTTAAATTATTATTACTCGTCTATAAATCACTAAATGGCCTAGAACCTCAATATATTACAGATATGCTCACTGAATGCAAACCTATTAGATCACTCAGATCTTTAAGAACATATAAACTAGAAATTCCAAGAGTTCAGCCAAAGCAGGGTGAATCAGCCTTCAGCCACTATGCCTCTCGCTGCTGGAATCAGCTTACAGAAATGATCCGATGTGCTCCAACATTAGGCACATTCAAATCAAGACTGAAAACACATCTGTTTAGCTGTGCCTTTACTGAATGAGCACTGTGCTATGTCCCACAGATCGCACTATTATGTTTATCTCTTCCATTTCATTCTTTTATAACCTGTACTAACACATTTTATCTGTTTTTATCATTTTTATTATTTGTTTTTTAATTTTTCTCATACTAGTCTCTTTTATTCCTGTTTATGTAAAGCACTTTGAATTGCCACTGTGTATGAAATGTGCTATATAAATAAACTTGCCTTGCCTTACAAAACTTTTCATTCTGGTTTTATGAACGTATAAACCAAAAGATTGAGGTTTTAAAATATCCCATATATATTTTAATATCACCTAGGCTTAATTATTATTAGTAATATATAACCATTTTGTGTGTGTGTGTGTGTGTGTGTGTGTGTGTGTGTGTGTGTGTATATATATATATATATATATATATATATATATATATATATATATATATATATATATATATATATATATACATATACATATACATATACACACTAACAGGCCACTTTATTAGGTACACCTGTCCAACTGCTTGTTAATGCAAACAACGTGGCAGCAACTCAATGCATTTAGGCATGTAGACATGGTCAAGACCATCTGCTGCAGTTCAAACAGAGCATCAGAATGGGGAAGAAAGGGGATTTAAGTGACTTTGAACATGGTACGGTTGTTGGTACCAGACCGGCTGGTCTGAGTATTTCAGAAACTACTGATCTACTGGAATTTTCACGCACAACCATCTCTAGGGTTTACAGAGAATGATCTGAAAAAGAGAATATATACAGTGAGCGGCAGTTCTGTTTGGATGGTAGGGTCAGAATTTGGCCTCAACAACATGAAAGCATGGATCCATCCTGCCTTGTATCAACGGTTCAGGCTTGTGATGGTGGTGTAATGGTGTGGGGGATATTTTCCTGGCACACTTTGGGCCCTTTAGTACCAATTGAGCATTGTGTCAGTGCCACATCCTACCCGAGTATTGTTGCTGACCATGTCCATCTCTTTATGACCAGTGTACCCATCTTCTTCCAGCAGGATAATGTGCCATGTCATAATTAAAGCGTGAATCATCTCAAACTGGTTTCTTGATCATAACAATGAGTTCACTGTACTCAAATGGCCTACACAGTCACCAAAGCTCAATCCAATAGAGCACCTTTGGGAGGTGGTGGAAAGGGGATTCGCATCATAAATGCGCAGCGGACAAATCTGCAGCAACTGCGTGACGCTATTATGTCAATATGAACCAAAATCTCTGAGGAATATTTCCAGTGCCTCGATGAATCTGTGCCATGAAGGATTAAGGCAGTTCTAAAGGCAAAAGCTGGATCCAACCCGGTACTACATTTACATTTACATTTAGTCATTTAGCAGACGCTTTTATCCAAAGCGACTTACAAATGAGGACAAGGAAGCAATTTACACAACTAAGAGCAACAATGAATAAGTACTAAAGGCAAGTTTCAGGTCTGTAAAGTCTAAGAAGGGAAGTGTTAGTAGTTTTTTTTTTTTTTTTTTTTTTTGTACAGTTAGTTAGTGTGATATTCAAAGAGGCAATTGCAGATTAGGAAGTGAAGTGGAGACTAAATAGTTGAGTTTTTAGTCGTGACATGAAAATAGCGAGTGACTCTGCTGTTCTGATGCAGTTAGGGAGTTTATTCCACCAACTGGGCAGATTGAGCGTGAGCGTTCGCGAAAGTGATTTTTTCCCTCTTTGGGATGGAACCACTACTAAGGTGTACCAAATAAAGTGGCCGATGAGTGTATTTTAAAGTATAATATTTTCCTGTGAATTCAAAGCTACATTATCAGCAGCAGTGTGACATGATCCTATAGAATTCAAAGTATACAGGTTTAGTGTTGAAAACAATTGTGGGGCAGTAAACCATAGTTCACATCAATATTTGAATCATACGTCAAAAATAAACCATGTAAACAATTAATGAAATAAATTTCTAATATTTTTAATGATACTTGCTTCAAATGACAATATTGCTGCTTCTTCAACCACAATGTGCCCACTAGACCAGTGTGCAAAGATAAAGGGCAAAAACGAATCAACAATCACCCGCACTATAAAATCTGATGAAAAGCAACAACACACTAAACAGCAACTTCTATCGATGTGTGCATTACATTAGCAAAATTGGTCTAAATAAAAAAAAAATAGGTGGCATAAAAGATGGGCGCTTTAGGGGTGTCCTTCAGGCAGAAAAAAAAAAATTATGTTCAATTAATTAAAACTAATGAGAGATTCTTGAGCAGCTGGAGGCACCAGAGACCCTGAGAGCAGAATCTACAAACTACATTATTCACATCTTACGAATTAAAACTTTAACATTCATTTCAGCCTGTGTGTAAACCCAGACTACGAGTGAAGACGTGTTTATTAAAAGGGAATGGTGTGGTCTAATGAGATTATTTGTGCATTTCATTATATTTCAAGTACCCTTCTTAATGGAACTCACTACTTGTCTTTATTTCAGAGGACATTTTAAGGCTAACCATTCAGTCCAAATTACGTCGCTTTATGGCTTTCTTTTAAAACAAGCATCACATTCCACTATATATTATATAAACTATCAGCATTATAACAGTAACAGCAATTTCAGCAAGAAGCGCTTCCCGTTTTTCAGTCATCCGCTCTCCTGTAAACAGGAATGTCCAGTTAATATTCTGGCTTCTTTCGGTTTCGGTCTATAAACCTTGATTTATTGCTTCGGAATTATCGGAATTAGGAAATTCTGCTATGAGATCTTCTGAAATTAATGATAATTCCAGCATGACCTGAATGGAAGCGTATTCTGGGAATAAGAGTCAGGGAAGGCAGAGATTTAAAAACTCTAAAAGGTTAAAAAGCCATCCCATGTGACGATAGTAATAATAAATATAGTGCTTTCTAGACGTCTGGTCCATGTTGTGTCTTTCGCAGCAGTTCTAGGAAGGTCAGTTATCAGTCTGGCTGATTATCAATGCCCAGTGTACAGTATGTGTGTGTGCGTGTCTGTGTGTTAGCTCAGAGGGACCATCTGGATGACCGAGACCTGCTCGGTGCAGATTCTTTTCAGTGGTGGAGCTCCACAGCTGTCCTCGTCCTCCTGTACACACAACGAAAAGAGATATTACAACTAGCTGGTGTTGGGTTATTAATGTCCCTCAGTAACACTTTATAAGGTTTCATTAGATCATTTATTTTTCAACAAATACAAAAAAAATCTTTTAGAATTAATTTATTAGGGAGTCTTCTCCTTTTATTGGACAGGACAATGGATATAATACCTGCATGCTATTGGGAAAATCTAGCATTGCAATATTTTGTTATTCTGCGATATGAATACAATTTCACCAGATAACATGAATATCGGGGCAGCACGGTGGCGCAGTGGGTAGCACAATCGCCTCACAGCAAGAAGGTCGCTGGTTCGAGTCTCAGCTGGGACAGTTGGCATTTCAGTGTGGAGTTTGCATGTTCTCCTTGTGTTGGCGTGGGTTTCCTCCGGGTGCTCCGGTTACCCCCACGAGTCCAAAGACATGCGCTATAGGTGAATTGGGTAAACTAAATAATCCGTAGTGTATGAGCGTTTGTGAATGTGAGAGTGTATGGGTGTTTCCCAGCATTGGGTTGCAGCTGGAACGGCATCCGCTATAAAAAAATATATGCTGGAATAGTTGGCGGTTCATTCCGCTGTGGCGACCCCTGATAAATAAGGGACTAAGCCGAAGAAAAATGAATGAATAAATGAACTTGAACATCTCCATTTAGAAAGAATTTATCTATTATCATCATTGGGGCTCCAACTGTAGGCCATTCTAACTGTATCCTGACAGATTTCATCACACAATGAACGCTCTTAAACTCTCAAGACGCAAAAGCATGTACTAGATGCTGTCAGCTCGCACACTGTAGAACAACAAGTACGATATTATCATAGACGATAAACATTGCACACCTATAATTCGTAGACTAAGAACGAGTAAGTTTTCCAGCATTACTATATAAAAACTTTGACTAGATTGGTAGTATTTTGTACCTGAGCAGTGAGGGGTAGAAGATCTTCTTTGATCAGTGTTGGCGGCTCATCTGCAATCTCACTTGACTGCAGAAGCGGCTCTAAAAAAAAAAGGTTCACATTTTTAAAAGTGGGTCGACTGACTAAAAGATCTCAGCAGACTTCTGTGAAATATGTATTTTACGAGATAACAGTATAATGCGTTTGTTCAGATCAGATCGAATCACAGAGAAACAAAGAGGGCAAACAATTTACTGTGAAACCTCAGGTTAATGTGACTAAATATTGTAACAAGCTTGTAAAAAATAAAACCTACCATTCATGTTTTGGGGTTAGAAAGATTTAAAAGGATTTTAATAGGATTTTTTATTTAGCAAGGCCAATTTGTGGATGGTCACTACAGATTATACCACTGTTTTTAGCACCAAACCATAATATTTGAATGATTTCTGAAGAATCATGTGATGCTGGAAATTAGGCTGTGCATTAAAGCAATAAATCATATTTCAGAGTACGTAAGAATGAAGCATTTCAAAATATGACATTTATTGAACAGTAAATCACCATATAAGAAGGATTTTTAAAGGATCATATTACACTGGAAAACAAAATAAATATATTAAAATAAAATGATTAAAAAACAAAACCTGCTATTTTAAAATGGAATTATATTTCATAATATGAATGTTTTACTAAGTTAAAAAAAAAGTGAAAAATGCTGATTTTGTTAGCAAAAATTACTTTTTAAAATGTCTAATTTAATCTCTAAACCATTATATTATAATATAATAAAAAATAAATCATGATAAATATAATATGATTTAATATAATGTAATGAAATATAAAAATTATATAGTAGAATATAGAAATAATAAAATAAATATAATAATAACAAATAATAGAATACAATGTAATGTTATTTAAAAATAATATTACAATAATATTAAAATAATACAATATAATAAATACAATAAAATATTATAATATAATATAATAAAATTAGGATAGTAAACAAACAATATAATAAATATAAGTAATATAATAAATAATATATAAGTAATATATATATAAGTAATATATAAAAATATATATAATATATATATATATATATATATATATATATATATATATATATATATATATATATATATATATATATATATATATATATAATATATAAGTAATATAAATATAATATATAAGTAATATAATAAATATAATGATAATATGTGTTATAGAAAAAATATAATATATACAAATAATAGGATATAAAATAATATAACAAAATAATGTATTATATACAAATAATATAACATAATATAATATAATATACAATTAATATTAGAATATAAAATATAATAAAACAATAAATATAATATAAAAATAACAAATAATAATATAATATACAAATAATATTAGAATAATTAGTATAATAATATATATTATATTATAAAATAATAGACTATAAACAAGTAATATAAAAATATATAATATAATAAACAAATAATACTACAACAATATGGTATAATATTATTTAATTATATTATTAATTATGTAATGTAATCTATACACACATTTAAAAATATATAATATAATGTAATATAATGTAATATAATATAATATAATATAATATAATATAATATAATATAATATAATATAATATAATATAATATAATATAATATAATATAATATAATATAATAATGAATGCATGGTTCTGTATGAGTCTCACCTTCCATGATCTCCTGGCCGAGGGTGGGTGGCTGTGGGTCATCAGTCCTGTAGTCTAGACTCTGAGGTGCCGGACTGACCGGCTCACTGGCCGGTGGACTGGAGTTATTGCTGCTGTCTGCAGCTGCTTTATGCTGGTATGAGTCTGACAGAGAACTCTGGTTGCTGTTTTCATCTGCCAACCAAGAGAATATATCCATTTCACATGAACGAAAGAAAATTATATAGCTTTGAAACTATTTTAGGGTGAGAAAACAATGGCAGAATATTAATGTTTTGGGATTTAATGTCCTATTAAAACAGGTTTACCTTGAAAATCTAATAGCACAGAGCAGGCATTATCAGAGGACTCCTCTGAGGGAAAATTCTTCCGCTGCATTTCTCCACCCACAGACACTTTGCTCTTTTCCTTCTGAAAAAAAAATCAGGTGATGGAAACAGTAAATACAGTGAAGGAGTTTGGAAATTAAAGATCCTGATCAATATGTATGAGATGTAGATGTTGTATTTTTGTGAAATGTGACTGAATTTAAATCCCATTCAGCCAGATGACAATTAAAATCAAGAGAAAGAAGCATTTTAAATGTGTCATACCTCCTTTGTGTCCACCACGGGGACCCATTTAAATATTCTTAATGATGTATCTCCAACTGTGACCCATTTCTTCTCCCTGAAATGGAGCAATAGGAGTTCAGGTTTCCCATATACATCAGACTGCAGTCATAAACTCATTATTCATACACCTGCTAGTTGTGTGGTTTTAAGCTTTTCCTAAAATGTTATTTGAAAGAATGCATAAAAGCACGCAGATCAGTCTGAATGGGTACTCAGAAAAACTAAAAAAAAAGTCCAAAAAGTGCTCTGTCCCTGGGAGCATCAGAGAAATGACCACTTACAATATGTTCAAAAAACATTTCAAACTTTGAGTAATAAAACAAAGACGTGTCATCGTTCATATAAGCTTGTACCTACCTATCATGTTACCACTTGTGCCTGCCATCTTAATGTGTTGTTTAAATGTGTTTAACTACTCTTATCTCTATTGCATAATGTTGGTGTTTTTAGCTTATTTTGTACATATACTTTTTTTATTAAGATCCACTTAACTATGTCGATTTCAGTGCTTCTTGACTATACTTGATTGATTTTATAATTTTTGGATTTTTTTAGGGTGACAATTTTAACATTTGTCCCGGGACAACAGATGAAAAACAGCCTTATGGCTAATTCTGGTGCATTTGCAGCAATGCTAATTAATGTACACTGTCCCTGCCGAATAAACAAATAACTAAAATAATATTCATAAATGTGGCAACACCAAAGCTCCAAAAACTCGAAAAACATAAATGTATTACTTAAAAAAGCCATCACAAAGCGTGTTCATCAGACAATATTGATCATAGCATGTAGCTTTTATACACCTCTGGATTACATTATCTCAAACATTAAATCACAACAAAAGAAAAATTAACATTAATAAACTGAACAACTTACACATTTGCTTTTATGAATATTTGTGCCCCTAAAATGTTATTTATAATGTAAGGAAAACATCTTAAATACAGTGTTTATTTTGTCGCACTTTATCAATTTATCTCTGAATTTCTATAACAATACATGAATTTAAAGTCAAAATCTCCACATCAGCATTTGTATACACCCAAATTTGCAGTTTAATCCATGTATAGGCCTATATTTTACAGAGGAATATGTTCACACATGATTTGCCTGATACGCTCTCAGAAAAAAAAAAATGGTACAATGTTGTACCAAAGAAGGTACAAACTCTTGTCACTGGAACAGCACCTTTTTATCGAACAGAAATGTACCTTAAGACAAAGAAACAAATTAGTATCATTGCAGTTTTCAACTTTAAGGACATGATTTGTACCATGGGAATCCAAATTGTACCTTTAGTTTTTAAAACCTGCAGATACAATATTGTGCCTTCATCAAAGATACAAATCTGATCCATCAAGGTACCACAGGTACAGGTATAGTGACAAGACACTTTAACAGTGTCAAATGTGTTCCTTCAAGAACTGTTTAAAGGCTTTTTGCTTTATCCAAAACGTGTCAATTTATTTTTAGTAAATATAAAACATCAAATACATTTTTAAACAGTGTTTTTTTAAGTTTCTTTTTGAGTTAACGCACCTCTTCAGTTTACAATAAAAGAATAAAAAATACTTTAATACTTTTTTGCTAAACATTTCACAACACTTTTCACAAAAATGTTAAAGAAATACATTCTCTCATGTACAATATTAAACATTTTTCCAATTTTCACACAATACCTTTGTAATCATCTATAAGTTCATTTAATTTACATGTTTTTAAAATAGAAATAGAGTTATGCAAAACTATTGTAACGAGATATGCACAATGTTTGATTAGTTTTACATTACTAAAATGTCTGCATGAACACTGCATATGCAGGACTTTTGCCAGCTCATGTGTGTAGTGGAAAGCAAACGCCAAAAGGTGCAGATATCAATAATAAAACTGTATTTATCAGAAAAAACTAATAAGTGTTTATTAAAAATGCCTTAAATATTTAGTTTACAATACATTTAGTTTTGTTTTATAGAACTTAATAATTAATGTTGATGAGTTTCTTTAAACAAGTTTTTTAAATGATGATTAATGTTTTAATATGGAAATTATTCATGAAATCACTTTGCCTTTCCAGTGATATTTACTTTCATGGATATTGTAAAAAAAGGAGTTGTCCAACACTTTTGTACGTTTGTTATGAGAACAATTGTATACCTTAATTTCAGATGTATCATAAAAGGTACAGAACAGTATCACAAGAGGTCTTTTCAGTTCCATATAAGGTACGACTTTTACAAAGGTACAAAACTGTTCCTTAAGGGACATTATTTGTACCACCGTGTACCTTTTTGTAGTATACATATGTAGTGTACATTTTATTCTACTATTTCTTTCTTTTCTTTTTAGATGTTCACAGTATTATCCTAATTGAAATAACATTTGTAACATTTGACAATAATAAAGTTATGAACACTATGTTTAACCTAAAACGAGCACATACTTCATATTTCAAAACTTTTTAGAAACCTTGTAATACAAATGTAAACAAACAACTACAAAAATATGGTGATAACTATTATTCTTTATTTGATTCACCTGCATTGTCTTGCCCTAAAAATACAACCATGCAGGAAAATAGCACTTCTCAAGCTTCCAATTGAAGAAAGTTTCCTCTAAAAGCTGTTTTTTTCTGGACATGAGGGATTACAGTCCATTTGTTGATGAGTTATACACTATCCAATATCCCCATTTATCTTAATCACAAAAGTGCTTGGGTTTTACAGGGCTGAATCCTGATGGGATGTACTTGGATTAGCCGTTTGAATAGTAAATTCGTAAATGATTAGATAAAACTGTGTAAAAAGGACAATTAAGTACGCTATTAAATATTTCTAACAGACTTTAAACTTCTTCAGCAGAAAAAAAAAACCCGTTTAAAAGTCCCCTTTAGTCCCGCCTCTTTTGTGCCGCTTGTCCTTTCATAAAACAAAGACAGGCGGCCTGCCATTGGCTGAATCTTGTGTCAATCAAACTGCATCCTCTTATGAAAGTCCTCCTCCTTTCCGACTGAAGTTTCTCTTTTGAAAAACAATTTTCTCTTTCAAAGTGTCGTGACGGCGCTCGGCGTACTCACCATCTCCGTACTCTCTCGATGGCAGCCATGACTTTCTTAATGTCATCTTTAGCGCGGCTCCGGGTCTCCGCGCGGACCGAACGACCCGACATTTCTTAATTTTATCGGTACTCTTACTGGAATCGTGTCGGTCTCGCAGTCTAGCGGCGCAAATCTCGTCTCGCGAGAACTCACGACTCTCTCCACTTTCCACAGCTTGACAAGTAGATCCCACCTACTTCCAGAGGACACAGGTGGCTGCTGTTAAGAGTTTTTATTTATTAGAAAATGAGCAAATACCTATATATTTATCAAGTCACAGATTTATTACTCAATACGTATTGTAAAAAATCGTATTCGTTTACCCTAAATACGTTTACACAACTCCTCACAGTTATAGTTCATTTCAAAATAAAGGTCTTTAGTGACTATTTTTTTAAATACTATATTAAAACAAACATGTAATACAAGAAAGTATAAAATAAAATGGCCGCTGTAGCTTTTATTATGTTAAATGTAACATATGTAAGACGAACCAAACAGCCCTCGTGTTATTTATGTTAATCAACCTAAAAAAAAAACAACAAAATATATTAAAATTAAAAACATTTGCTAAATTAATTTAAATAAATATATTATTTAATTCTTAGAAATTAGGAGGCTAAGTTTTGTAAATGGTGTCCCAAATCTTTCCAATGCTAGTAAAAGTTTTTTTTATTCATTTGCTGACAAATTTCTTACCTATGCTTTCTTTGACAAATCAACAAAAATCAAACTAGTATTATTAAGTTTATTCTTTGTAGGGCAGTATATTATGTGGAAGCTTATTTCTGTCACAGAATAAAGTTTTTCATCTCACATTTCTGTCTTTGTCCTCCTTACAGATGTAAATTTACATCTTAGTTTGGACTTTTGACAAACTTCCACTTGTGAGAGAATTGAGAATTTCACTATTTATCACTAGTATATAAACATTTATGAGTTTGTAACTTCTGTTGAAGAAAGCTGAAACCCTGCAATCATTGACTTACATAATCGGAAAAACAAAAACTACAGACATCAATGGTTACCCGTATTTGGAAATATTTTTTGTGTTTAACAGAAGAAACCAGTTCATAAAGGTTTGAAACGAGTAAAGGGTGAGAAAATGACACAATTTTGACAGAGTATGTGTGTGAATGGAAGTGTGTGGGTGTTTCCCAGTGATGGGTTGCAGCTGAAAGGGCATCCGCTGCATAAAACATATGCTGGATAAGTTGACGATTCATTCCGCTGTGGCGACCCCAGATTAATAAAGGGACTAAGCCGAAAAGAAAATGAATAAACGAATGTCCCTTTAAGACCAAGAATGTGAGCTAATAAGCAAAAATAAACATTGCAAATTCTGATTTCTTGCAGACTTTAAATTATTTCACCTGTAAAACAAGGGACCTAGTCTTTCCCCTATCATACTGAGGGAATAATGTAACTGTATATTATCTGCAATTATCTGGGGAAGTCCTGTTTTATATATAATGGGAGCTTTTTTCCCTCCGTTGTCCGGTTTTGAAATTTTTCTTTGTGTAATCTTGTAAAGATGTACTGTTAGGTTTATATTATTGTGAAAATTCATTTATATATATATATATATATATATATATATATATATATATATATATATATATATATATATATATATATATATATATATATATATAAAACACAAATAGATGACATTAGATCAGTGTTTCTCAACCCTGGAGGCACACTAGTATATATATTTTAAGGTCTCCCTTATCTGATCCATTTATTTCAGGTTTTGGAGTCCCTTCTATTGTTCTGCTGAGTTGATTCTGGTGTGTTTGATTAGGGAGAGGTTGAAAATGTGTACTGTTGGTGTGTTTTCAGGAACAGGGTTGGGAAACACTGCATTATGGCCTGTTTCCACTGAGTGGTACAGTTCGCTGCGCTTTTATGGCCACTTTTTTGATACCATTTTCAAAAGGGTACCAAAAGGTGAAGCAAGACGCACAGCTGAACGCTATTGGTTTACAGAAATACATCACTAGCACATGCACAAGCCAGGAGAATCAAAACAATGGATGCGCCATTTTTAGATTCACAGCCATTACATAGTAATAATATATACATATATTAACGACCAATGGTCAACCCTAGCATAAACAAACCTTGTCATCTTGATGAACAGCCACAAAGCCAAGAAGAGCAGAATCTACCCTTCCCTGTAGTTGTTTACAAGGCCGTTTAAAGCACGAGGGGTTTCGCTTTCTTGTGTGCACTCCTCACACGTCTATATTTGAAATAATGCACTTCTTAAGCTGATAACAACGTGCACATGATTATTGAAGTGCATCTGACATCCGATCCTTTCAGAAACTGACAAACGTGAGAGTGAAGTGCGAAAAAACAAAGGAGAAGCTGGAAAAACAAAGGAGCAAGTGATTCTTTCAGCAACCTAAACCATGAACAAACTACCATGTTTAACTATTGTCATAATTTTTTGGACTATTAAGAACTCTGGTATGACTGAGTACTTTCTAACAGAGGTCACATGTGCTGGTGAAGATTAAAGATATACATATGAGAGGTTTGCACTGAATGTGGGCTGCTGCGTGTCGCTTTTGAATCCAAATAAGGACTAAATGTATGCTGTATGTACTTTTTTCTGTAAGTAGTAACATATCAGAGACTGTAAGGGTCTGTATGTGCTCATATATGTTGAATTTATTTATTTATTTTATATAATCGCAGACGTTACAGAAGGCTATTTCACCCTCTCATTGATCTGCAGTTATAATCAAATCATGTTCATAGAAAGGTTAGTAATGAACATTTATACACAAGTATGTATGTGTATAAAGCATCTGTTCTATGAGAAGTGCTTGTCGTATGATATGTGAACGACTTGTAGACATTTCCTCGAGCAAGAATGACGTCGACTGAAACTTTCTGTCGTACCCCACACCCACCATTCCCTTTTGGCAGTGGAAATGCAAGCCTGATAAAGGTGACCCGTACCAAACCACTCAGTGGAAATGGGCCATTAGAGCATTAGTGGGAGGTTGAAAATGGAAAACAAACAGAAGCCTCAGACAAACTTATAAACACTCGATTTATTCAATAAAACTAGCATGCCAAACCCACTCGTTTCTGCACTCGTGAAAACCTTCAGGCTTTAGTTTTTGGCAGCGTTCAGCACAGTGTCCAGAGCGCTCTGAGCGTCCGTGATCTGCTGCCGGAGTCTCTGTCTCACTCCATCATTTGAGGCTTTCTTCAGCATGGTCTGCATGTCTTGGATGGCGGCTCGGTAGCCGGTCACGTTGTGAAAAACGCGGATGACTCGATCTCCGGTGCTCAGTAGGAAGCGGTTGTTGATGTCGAACTTCAGGTCGGTTATTTCCCCGTTGTGAACGCTGTGAAACTCCTCTTCTAGTTCACCGGTGGTGGCGTTATACATGGCTATATCGCAGACGTTTGATATGGCGACTACGCGACCGTCGGGGGACAGGGCGATGCGGCTGCCCTCGGATACTTTACACGGCACCGTCCGGAGCAAATACGGGTCCTGCTTTTTCTTATACTCCACATCAGTGTCCCACAGCTTCCATGTGCCGTCTTTGGACACCGTCACCATTCTGAAAAAAGGAGTGATTTTTTGTTGTTAATATGTTATTGAGTAAGAATAACATCAGTGTGCACACATTTAAGAAAGTATTAGAGGCAGATGCTCGATTTAGGCATTAAACAAGTTAAAATATGTAGAAAGGGTCAGCGATATAGATTACTCTTTACTGCAGAGGGAAGCTTTTTTATTCACACATTAAATACCTTGACTCCTAGGGGTTGAATTTGGATGTAGATTTTAAAAAATATATAATTATATGTGTTTATGCATGTATATTTGTGTTTTTTTTTTAATGTAGTAATTTGTTTCGATTTGTTTGTATTTTTCTTGTTTACTTATTCTTAGGTTAATTGCCTAGATATTTGCACTTGACATCACATAGGGACCCTGAGCATGAGTCAATAGTGCCGCCATGTTTGTACAGTGCTCCCAGCACAAATGTCATTCAACTGCACTAGTCAAGACAGTGTGCCAGGTGTGAAGATGCTGGACTTTAGCGCTGTGTGCGGGTGTAGTAATGAGCAAATCAAGAAAACGAAGCACAATGGCAGAACATTTCATAGGTAAGATTTGTATGTCACGAACTCTTGTGCTAAACAAGCAATGTTATTGATGGTAATACAATCACTTACTGCACTAACCATGAGGCAAAGAAGCACCAACTTGCACTAAATACTAGACTTATGCTAGTTTTGCTGAATACAATAAGCAAAAAAGTAAAAGAAATATGACAAGATGCTGCGGTGCCAGAAACTTGTAATATTGTTGGCTAAATGAACGAGTCATTCAGAAAGAAGATTCATTCACAAACAAATCGCTCCCTCGGTTAGAATGAGAAGTGAAAGCAGGAGAGGGGCTGTGTTTCAGGACACAGATTAGATCAAATTTAACAAGGAGGGAGGATAATACATTTCCATACACACAAACACACACTCTTTCTCAGGAATGCCCGTGCGATCACTTATCCATCGCTATAGAAGTGATGTTAAATGATAATTTTCGTAATTTAAAAAAGTATTTGCATACTGAACACTTCTGATCATAGACATATGTATACATGTGTATATCCTGGGATCTGGATGTCCAGTCCTCCACTTCACCTTGGTCCTGCACTCATTTCAAAGGAGTGCTACCCTGTACTAAAATGGCAGCTCTATTGACGCATTCCTTCCGATAGACAACAATAGTGTAGGCAACATCTAATTTAAATATCTATGGGTTAATTGGGGTGATCATTGTTTGCAGGTGTGATGTCTAAAGTTTGACTATATCTAGGGTTCTCTTGTATGACCTGATGAAGACCTTGTGGTTCAAAACAATGTTCAATTAAATTAGTCTTTTGGGAGCTAAAGTGGCAGTGTGCCGATTATTTTCACTTGTTCTAATATGTATAATATGTTATGTAAGTACATGAAATCATCACAGTGATTAAAATGCAGAAATGGAGGCTGTAAAATATTCATAAATGTGTCATTTTATGTAAATAAGGCTAAAATAGCACTGATACATGAAGCTTTTAACAATTTTTCATGTGAAAAATCATATTTTAAATCTACAAAATTGACAAAGCTAAATAAAAATGACAAACTTGGACTAAACTTAACTGCTAAAATAGTGTATAAATAACACTAAAATAACACATAATTTAACACATAAAAATATTTATAAAAAGGCAATATAAAAATGTACAGAACAATTAATTTATATTAGTAAAATATAAAATCTGATGCATTTGTATTATTATCATAATTATTTTCAGAGCTAATCTTGCCTTCGAGAGTCATTGGAGAAATCAAAGGAGTAAACCCCAGCCGAGTGTCCCTTCAGGTCAAAGGCACGGGCCACTTCTCTGAACTCCCCTGATTTACCAAAGCAAACCTCCCACACCTTCACATCCGGGGTGAAGCCACAGGACGCTACAAACCTTAGGAGAAGACCAAAAAACAAAACAAAAAACATGTTTTAATATGCATTAAGCAGGTGCTGCAAACATGCTTATTGAAGGAAAAGATGCAAACTTTGAGTTTCTTTCTTCCGATTTAATTTAAAAAAAGTTAGGGAAGGCTAAATCATTGCTTAAAGCATTAAAATATAAAAACATAAAGAGAAATGCTTTACAAGAACTACATAACATCACCCAAGACACTGCATGTGAAAACAACAAAAACAATATGCAACTGAGGCATTCACTGATTAAATGTGTGCATTCATTTCTAGCACAATTTTCTTTTTTGGGATATTTTGGAAACCTTTCCATATGTCAGAAAATACAGCAAACCCTCAAGAGAAAGAAAAACAAACAAAAGAAAGAAACAACGGAGGAAAGAAAAAAGAAAAGCAAGAAAAAAGAAAAATTTAAAGAACAAAAGAACGAACAAAAGAATGAAAGAAAAAAATGTAAAAACAAACAAAATAATGAAAAACAACAGGAATAAAATAAAATTTTCAAAGAACAAATGAAACAAAATTGAAAGAACGAAAGAAAAACAACAGCAAATAAAAAAGTAAAGAACAAACAAAAGAATGAAAGAAAAATTCAATGAAGGAAAGAAAGAAAAAATTTAAAAATAAAGCAAATAAAGAAAAAAAACCTGTAAGAACTAAAAGAACAAAAGAAAAATGTAAAGAATGAGGAATGAAAGAACTTAAGAAAGAAAAAAACAAAAGAAAAAAAACAAGAACAAAAGAATTTCAAAAAGAACAAAAGAATGGACGAAAGAAAGCGAAAGAAAGAAAAAATTAACGAAAAAAGAAAGAAAAATTTTAAAAAATGAAGGAAATAAAGAAAAAAACTGAAAGAACTAACAAAAGAAAAATGTAAATAAACAAAAAGAAAAAAGAATGAAAGAACTAAAGAAAGAACAAAATAAAAAAACAAGAAAAAACTGAAAAAAGAAAAACGAACAAAAGAACAAACAAAAGAATTTCAAAAAGAACAAAAGAATGGACGAAAGAAAGCGAAAGAAAGAAAAAATTAATGAAAAACGAAAGAAAAATTTTAAAAATGAAGGAAATAAAGAAAAAAACTGAAAGAACTAAAACAAAAGAAAAATGTAAATAAACAAAAGAAAATGAAAAAGAATGAAAGAACTAAAGAAAGAACAAAAGAAAAAAAAACAAGAAAAACTAAACAAAAAAGAAAGAAAGAAAGAAAGAAAGAAAGAAAGAAAGAACAAAACAAACAAAAAACATTTTTAGAATAACAAAATGTTGTATATAATCAGGCACAATATGGGATGAACACATGCCTTGGTAAAACCTTCAGAATTCAGATATGAATAAAACTCAAAAGTTTGGTGTTTAAGTGTTGAACTGAACTGGAGGTTTATGGCTCAGTACAGCAGAAAAAACAATACAAATTTTGAGAAAACGGCCTTTAAAATTACGTCATTTAATATCTGCAAACACAAATTGATAAAGTGCAGCAAAACAAACAATTAAATGTGTAAATGGATGGTTTCTTTCCAATAGACTAAACAAAAATAATAACCAAACTTTATACCGAAGCCGAAAATCTCAAGACTGAATATAACTCAAACAAACCCAAATTATTTGGAACCAACCTTCCACATGGTGACACCGCTGCATGCGAGTTAGTCATCTGATTGGTGTTAATAGTGGCTAAAACCTCTCCCTTCAGGTCCCAGATCACAATGGTTGTGTCAACAGAGGCAGACATGATAAATTTGCCTGAAAATAGCACATAAAACCAGCAATCAAGCATTGCATTATGTTTATATTGAACCATTTTGCAGAAGCTTTTACACAAAGTGACTTAGAAAAAAATACAATATATTTGCACAATATATCATTTCAACATCGATATCGCAATGTGCGTCTGCATTAGTCACATGGCAGGATATGCATTGTTGAGTTTGCATTAAAGCTGAGCAGCACAACAATGGAGAACACATGAGACTTGTGGAGTCATTGCAAATTATAACCATAACAGAAGTTTATCAGTTGAATGTGTTTTAAAGGCATTTAAGAGCCCTTAAAGCATTTAGGCAGTGTCTGTTCTTCTCTTCAGTGTCTGTTCAAAGTGTGCGTTTATAAGCAAAATTACGATTGAACCACTGAGAACACATTTTTGACCATGCCTTTTGCAGTGTTGGGCAAGCTACTTGAAAAATGTAGTGAGCTGAGCTATCAGTTACTCTATTTAAAATAGCTTATAAAATCTATTTAAAATAGTAGCTTAAC